TCTTGATCAGCAGCGACCTTAGTTCTCTTTTCTCCGACCTGGTTAGGTTAATAGCAATCACACAACAAGATGACACTCAATTTACGATAAAATGTGACGTGCCATTCTAACAGTCGCATCACTTCATTGCTGTTCTTGATCATCACTGGTTCTTCTAGGGTATATGCTACAACTGCAACTCATTAGAGAGCTAACAACAGTGCAGTTAACTTCATTTATCTAGAAGTCCCATTCACACCAGATCTTTGTCCCTGATGCATAACACAGCAAGCATATTTGGCCAACTAGACCGCTGAATACACTGTCATCCATGGCTCAGCCATTTCTCTGTCTACCAGGTATTTGTTCCCGCTGTTAGTTATCGCAGTTCAATTACAGACATGCGTTTCAATCAAACTGACCTTTCTCTCTCACTGTCAAACAACTACTGAACATTCCTACTTCCTCAGGTCCAATCTTTTCTTGTGATTCATTTGATTTCCCACCCATTACATATCCCTTGTCGCACCTTTTGCAGAACATAAATTAGGTTATGCGATTCACAAATGAGGGCTTTCTTAATATGGAATAAACCATTCTAGTAACCAATAGAGAGGGTCTAGAAAAAATGGACATGTCTTAAATCAAGTTAATAGTGAGGATTATCATCACAGCACTCCAGACTGATCCACAGGTGCTCGATTTCCTTCTTAAAAGCTTTATAGGCTTAAAACGACTGATGAAGATACCTGTTTTAATTCAACGGAGAAAAAATCTAAAATCAAGAAAAGTGCAACTGGTGGAAGCGTGGCTTTGCAGGAGGCTTGTTTTTGACCATAAAGACTTTTAGCTTTCAGTTTTACGTGTAAACCACTAGAGCTCATATTGCAGGGTGCCCTGTTCCCAGTGGTGACATTAAGGTGTGGTGGACAATTCTGGATGTTATTGGGATGAAAGGTCAGGATCAATCAATTAGTCAGTCAATCAAGCATGTTCTTTACAGACCATCCTTCTCTTCATGGCACACCTGAAAGTCTCTCTTTCTGTAGCCCTGTGTGCTTTCATGGCCAATACAAGGTCATGATAGCTGTTTCTACTAGGGGTGGGCCTGGATCTGTTTGAGAATGTCTCCCTGTAGGTGATGGACAGCTTTCTTTAGGGCATCTTGGAGAAAATGTTTAGAGCAAAGATGGGACAAAAGAAAGTCATGAGCTCATGTGCACTGCTCACAGGTGTTGGTTATGTTAGTATTGTCACCCCTGACATGACAATTCCACTGACACAACCATTCCCACATACTGTCACCACTAGTAATTTAACAAGCCAGTATTGCATAGATAACATCACTGTATTGTTGACAGAATGTGCTGGAGACAAAACATAACTTGTACATCATCTCTATATAAAAAGCTTTCAAGGTTTGTCTACCACACATACATACATAATATACTCTACCTGGATGCAAAACAAAGACATAATTTAATGTCAGTGGAAAGGCAGAGCACTCTCCTCTGACCCGGCAGCTGCAGCAGTTTGCTTTGTTCAAATTGTTTTGGTGTTACCTTTCCTGGCACATCAGAGAGGCCAAGAGAGGGATCATGCTGCAGGGTAACACAAGGTCTCTCCAACACAGCTATGGGCTCTTGTTATGAAAAGGAGGAGCTAAATCTATGGCTTTGATTAGTCTTCATATGCTGTGATTCCAATACCTGCCTATAGTATAATATAAAGTTACTGCCTAGAAATAGGAAAAGGCAACACCTGGAGACACTAAACGTAAGCACAATTTGTAGATGTCTATGATTTTGTCGTACAAAAGAAATGCTACAATATTTGTATACACATTTTTCAGAAGTTAATACTTCCTAAGTAGACTTTATACCAAACCTTGTAGTTTAGTTCACATTCAGAATCTACAAATGACATTACAAACTATTAATCAACAAATATATGTCCACTAACAACAGAAGAAACAGAATTATATAAATAATTTTCTAGATTATTGTTAAATAAGCATCTACACATGTATAAAAATAGACAAAATGTACAAAAACACATTTAAAATAGCAATAACTAATTACTAAGGCAAGCATTACAAAAGTATATTACTATTTTCTCATTACAGCTGGATTAATTAAAGAACCCTGAATTTTTCACAGCAAAGAAAATGCTAGACAGAAACATATAGAAATCAGTTTAGTTCCACACGACCAATGCCCTTGAGGTTTTCTCCTATACTGAGGGGAAGTCAATAAGTCAGTCAAGAAAAGATATAAAAGCGAACAAAAAAAGTGTATCAGCAAGCTTTACTTAAAATGTTTCCTGCCATCCCATAATCATTTGTGCCTTATTTATTGACTTCCTCTCATATTCTGGTTTTCTGTGAAATGACCAATAAATGTACAGTGGGGTCAATTTGGGCTCTGTGTCGTTGAGGTCGTTGGAACCAGACTGACCACCTCTACTTCCCGAGACATTTCCCAGTGCACAAGTCAGGTGGGGTCAACTTGGGAGGGGAGCCTATGTCAGTGAAGAAAATTCCTGCCTTGAAGGGTATTTAAACCTAAGAACAAGGCCCAACAGGAATAGAATGCTAAGTCTCTGTGCTAATGTGGCTCCAATCCACAATTTGTACATCAGTTTAATCTAAGATATCCAACATAAGCACTGGCATCACACATACACATATGATTCGTTTCCTTGCAGTCCTAATATTCACATGATTCTTCTTGCAATTTTGACATACATGATTTTTCTTGCAATCCTGACACACATAATTCTTTCTGCAATCACTGATACATTTAATTCTTCTTGTAATCCTGATACACATATATATAATTCTTTCTTTAAGTAATCACTGATACACATATATTTCTAACAAATTAGTGTAATAATTCATGGCTATTATGCAATCAAAGTGATCAGTACAACATTATAGCTCATGCATTAGTGTTGTATTTTTGTTTCTACTCAGATGAAAGAGGCAGGGGTTGACCAGCACCAAGTTGGGCATGGAACATTTACATTGGGCATAAAATACTCAGTACAAGTAATTAGTTCTAATCAGTCACTGACATGATCCACTAACACAGTGGTTCTCAACCTGTGGGCCGCGAAACTTTTGTAGGTCAAACAACCGTTTCACGGGGGTCGCCAAAGATCATCGGAAAATACATGTTCACTGAAGTCAAGAAGTAGCAACAAAAATAACTATGTCTGGGGGTCACCACAATATGAGGAACTGTATTAACACAACATGAGGAACTGTATTAGAGGGTCGCGGCATTCAAAAGGTTAAGAGCCACTGCACTGACAGTTACTGAATTTCTGCATTAAGTAGGCCATTACAAAATATATATATTTTTTAAACGCTTGTAGAAATTGCAACTGACAGTTTATAAATTCTACTTGTACATACAAAGTACAACACTACCACAAAATATAATTAATCATAAGGTCTTAAGACATTTTTTTAATTTGCTAGGTCAAACAAATCCTGTCAATCTACAGCAGGTGGCTTTGCCTCGAGTGAGATATAACATGGAACTGATGCCGCCATCATTTGTCGGCCATGGACTGACAGACAACATCTGCATGTGGGTATTTAGGGTTCCATGTTTGGAGGAAATAAATAGACCTATTACCCCCCCCCCCCCCCCCCCCCCCCACACAGAAGTATATCGTAATAAGCAACACATCTGAGGTGTTTCTTTTGATGTCGGAGTGCATCTGCCTGAGAATTGAGAAACCACCAGTCTGCATACAAATAAGTTAAGTCTGTTAACAACAAACCCCCCCAACACAGAAGTATATCGTAATAAGCAACACATCTGAGGTGTTTCTTTTGATGTCAGAGTGCATCTGCCTGAGAATACACAGAAGTATATCGTAATAAGCAACACATCTGAGGTGTTTATTTTGATGTCAGAGTGCATCTGCCTGAGAATTGAGAAACCACCAGTCTGCATACAAATAAGTTAAGTCTGTTAACAACAACCCCCCCCCCCCCCCCCCCCCCCAAAAAACAAGATGTGCATGTAAAACTCAAGTTCTGGAGCAAGAAGAAAATCCAGAAGTGGACATAAAACCAGAGCTTTCCCTCTGAGTTTACAGCCGGTGAACACGACAAGGAAAAGAAGATCTATAAACAACATGAGGCCAGGCCCATATGTACATTTTCAAACAGCTGGTCGTTTATAGAACATTGTTCTTATCATGGCATGCCTGAAAGTCCTTCTTTTTGGAGCCAATTCTCCAACCCCATGTGCTTTCATTGCCAATTCATCTTCCAGGTCTTGCAGCTACTTTCTGAGATCTGCAAATGCTCTGATTCTCTCCAGAACATCAAGACATGAACAAGAATCTTACTTTTACAATTTACAGATGGCACTTTCAATTAACAAGCAAAATCTTGCAAGATGTAACATTCTTCGGTCATGGATTTAGCAAAACTTCACAAAAAACGTTTAAATGAAAGACTGTTGAGAACTGAAGACAATTTACAACTAAGTGCTGAATGTATAAACTCAATCAAATCTACAAATGTGCTTCCAAAAATGTGTGTGTGTTTTTTAAACACTTATATAAATTGTCTCATAGACCTAAAAGAACATGCACATTTTGTTTTAAATTCAGGTCAAAAAAACAACAAAAACTAAAATTTACAACATTTACATTAGCAAAGTGAGACAAAAACTGCATCAGCAACTCTGAGCCATGTGGTTAATGTGATATGTTTATAAATTGCAAAGTGACAACTCCAATCACCTAGCAGACAACTCTAGCCATCTTGATCAGACAGCACACAACTATAACAACCTTGATCAGACAGCACACAACTATGACAACCTTGATCAGACAGCACACAACTATAACAACTCTGATCAGTGAGTACCGGACAGCATACAACTATAACAACCTTGATCAGACAGCACACAACTATAACAACCTTGATCAGACAGCACACAACTATGACAACCTTGATCAGACAGCACACAACTATAACAACTCTGATCAGTGAGAACCGGACAGCAAACAACTATAACAACCTTGATCAGACAGCACACAACTATAACAACCTTGATCAGACAGCACACAACTATAATAACCTTGATCAGACAGCACAGAACTATAATAACCTTGATCAGACAGCACACAACTATAACAACCTTGATCAGACAGCACACAACTATAACAACCTTGATCAGACAGCACACAACTATGACAACCTTGATCAGACAGCACACAACTATAACAACTCTGATCAGTGAGTACCGGACAGCAAACAACCTTATCAGACCTTGATCAGCACAGGCTATAACAACCGCTGATCAGACAGCACACAACTAAACAACCTTGATCAGACAGCACACAACTATAATAACCTTGATCAGACAGCACAGAACTATAATAACCTTGATCAGACAGCACACAACTATAACAACCTTGATCAGACAGCACACAACTATGACAACCTTGATCAGACAGCACACAACTATAACAACTCTGATCAGTGAGTACCGGACAGCAAACAACTATAACAACCTTGATCAGACAGCAAACAACTATAACAACCTTGATCAGACAGCACACAACTATAATAACCTTGATCAGACAGCACACAACTGTAATAACCTTGATCAGACAGCACACAACTGTAATAACCTTGAGCAGACAGCACACAACTATAATAACCTTGATCAGACAGCACACAACTGTAATAACCTTGATCAGACAGCACACAACTATGATAAACTTGATCAGACAGCACACAACTATAACAACCTTGATCAGACAGCACACAACTATAACAACCTTGATCAGACAGCACACAACTATAACAACCTTGATCAGACAGTACACAACTATAACAACCTTGATCAGACAGCACACAACTATAACAACCTTGATCAGACAGCACACAACTATAACAACCTTGATCAGACAGCACACAACTATAACAACCTTGATCAGACAGCACACAACTATAACAACCTTGATCAGACAGCAAACAACTATAACAACCTTGATCAGACAGCACACAACTATAATAACCTTGATCAGACAGCACACAACTATAATAACCTTGATCAGACAGCACACAACTATAACAACCTTGATCAGACAGCACACAACTATAATAACCTTGATCAGACAGCACACAACTATAACAACTCTGATCAGTGAGTACCGGACAGCAAACAACTATAACAACCTTGATCAGACAGCAAACAACTATAACAACCTTGATCAGACAGCACACAACTATAATAACCTTGATCAGACAGCACACAACTGTAATAACCTTGATCAGACAGCACACAACTGTAATAACCTTGAGCAGACAGCACACAACTATAATAACCTTGATCAGACAGCACACAACTGTAATAACCTGACCATCAGCAGCACACAACTATGATAAAACTTGATCAGACAGCACACAACTATAACAACCTTGATCAGATTAGCACACAACAACTATAACAACCTTGATCAGACAGCACACAACTATAACAACCTTGATCAGACAGTACAAAAACTTTTGAACAACCCTTGATCAGACAGACACAACTATAAATCTAACCTTGTGCCCAAAGACATAGCACACAACTTTCATGACAACCTTATGATCAGATTTAACTGTGACAAGAGGGGAACAATATCAATGACCCTTGACAGTTTCCAGCACACTGCTATAAAAACCTTGAAACATCAGACAGTTACAATATAATAACCTTGATCAGACATCACTACAACTATAACAACCCACATTGATCCATCCACACAACTAGCAATAACCTTGATCAGACAGCACTCACCAATAACAAACTGATCAGACAGCACACAACTATAATAACCTTGATCAGACAGCACACAACTATAATAACCTTGATCAGACAGCACACAACTTAACAACCTTGATCAGACAGCACACAACTATGATAAAGCTTGATCCGACAGCACACAACTAAAACAATTCTGACTCAGAGTCTCTGAACAGCAAACAACTAATAACATCTGCTTGATCAGACCAAACACAAATGCCTTGGAAAAGGCTGATCGAGATTACCGGACAGCATACAACTATAACAACTCTGATAAGACAGTACTGGACAGCACATAACTATAACAACTATGATCAGAGTTAGATTGTCCTTGTTCCCAAAAAATTTTGATTACCCTTGTGCCCAAAGAATCAAGACTGTCCTAGTGCCCAAAGAATCTAGATTTTCCTTGTGCCCAAAGAATATAGAATATGTAATGTCTTTCATGACATCAGATATGCTTTTTAGGTCCACTGTTTAACTGTGTAAAGGAGGGGAAAATTATCATGGGTGAAGTTGACAGTTTCCATTTGGACTGCTATGAAGACCACTTTCCATCCAATAATGATTTTTAAACATACAAAAATGGTTACTTATTCCAATATCTGTATGAACATCCTAGCACATTGGTACAACCCACATGTGCTCCATCCTCCAATGTAGCAGTTTCTGAATCTCAGAGTCTCTTCTGTCACCATACCTATTCCTTTGAGTGCAACTCGCCATAACTATCTTTTTTCTTTGCCTCATAACCAGTGTCTGCAAGCTTTTCTTCATTTAAAGCCCATTTCCAACAGGTGGTTCATCTTCTCAGACTCCTTTGTCTCAATGTCTCTGAAACGCAGCATATCTAATACATCTGCCCTCCCCATCCAAAACTGTAATGCCTTGGAAAAGGCATCTATTCTAGCATAATTAGAAAGTAACAAACCTGACAAAGAAGTCTGAAAAATTTAAACTAAAGCAATATATACACAGACAATTCATGCACCTAAAGACAGAACTTCTTCCCAAAAAAAGAGAACTCAAAATTAAAGCATTTGCAAAAAACACAGCTCTCACAAAAATAAGAGGCTTTCACAGTGCCTATTTTAATGTATAAATATAAATTGTATAACACATTTTCCAAAACTAAAATCAGATCTGACATTCACAATAGGTTCACTGTGTTTCCTGTGTAACTGTCCCATTATATATATTGGTGAAGTTGTTGTTCGTCCATCACGAGTGTTGAAGACCACTTTCCATCCAAAGTAATGATCAGTGATTATGAGTACAAAGGTGGTTGATTAGTCCAATACGAGCCTGGAAAGTTCTTAAGCAGTGCGGACTACAGGGGGAAGCCGCAGTAAGTGTGGAATTAGCAATATGGCTTTTTTCTAGTCTGCCTCCGTTTCTCTGCCTGAGAGCAGTTTTGACAGTGTCCTTATAGCTCTTTTTCTGTCCTCCCCTGGGACCTATTCCTTTGCTGCAACTCGCCATAATTACTTTCTTTGGGAGGCGATAACCTGGCATGCAGGCTAGGTGACCAGCTCAAAGTAGCTGATAAGTCTTCGGTATCGTGTGGATGCTAGGTGACCAGCTCAAAGTAGCTGATAAGTCTTCGGTATCGTCTGGATGCTAGGTGTCCCAGGAACAGTCTTCGGTATCGTGTGGATTCTGTAATGATTCAAGGTGACCAGCTCAAACCTAGCTGATATTGTCTTCGGTATCGTCTGGAACTCTATTGAATCACTGAGTATACACACTCGCATAGAGGAACGTTCATTTTTTTCAAGCCAGGCAAGCGCTTATGTCACTTGCCATTTTGTTATAGATCAACTGATACAAATATGGAGGTTCATGGATCAGGCGCACGCCAGCCAAAATCTTTTCCAAGTGTTCTTGCTAGCACACATTTGCTGTAAATGCCTTGCGCTTCTTCTTTGAGCGCAGCCTCACTGTGATTTTAACTCAAAAACCTTAGGACAGGCAGTCAAAATTTTCACTGCATGAGAGCGTTGACCTGTCTTTCATTATGTAAAGCACAGGATTCTCTTTTGTTTACATCGCCTGTATATGAGTGTTTAATAAACGCCTGAGTGCATAACCATCCATTCTGCAACAGTCATGAACACTTCCATCTGCATATTTGCCTAATGACATCTTCTGCCCGACCTAGCCACGATTTCCCCCTCTTCAGTCTGTTACCAGTAACAGTCTAATTATATGTGATAATATTTTTGTCTGTCTTGTCTATCCTCTTAATGTGAGTGTCGGCTAGATCCCCTGGTACTTGCCGCTACATCATTATTTCCGGACTGTGGTGATCTATGTTTGCTTCCACATTGTTCATTTGCCTAAGTTTTTAAACTGACATATTTGTAAGTTTTATCATACATGTTGAAGAAGACGAATGTCAAATACTTCATTGGTGCAGATGTTCGAACTACAGAATTTCCCCCTCTTTTGTTGTTGTTGTTGACACTGCTGATAATGGGACACAAGTAACCACAAGCATCACAAACCGTTCAAATTGGTCTTTGGTACAATTTTTGTGGAATTATTGCTCATAATGCAGATTTGAAGCTAAACATATTGTTTAAACTAGGGGAAGGGGAATGTGTGTATAAGTATTGTTTTGTGTGTGTGGGGGGGGGGGGGGGGGACCTTCCATGGGGCATGCATGTGTGTATGGGCTCCTAGTCTCTTACACATGAATGAGTATTAACAAAGTGGCCAGGGAATGCTTAGCCATTTTATCAGTATCATGACACAGAGAAATAATAAAAAGTACAAATGTAATGTATCCATTGTGACTTGAAACATTACAATTTCTGATATAAATTCACAGCTAGTTTTAAACATGCACAATTTAAAACTTTAATAAACTTTAGACTCTACGCCCCCCCCCCCCCCCCCCCCAGCTAAGAAAAAAAAAAACTGACAATTGCGAGCAAGATGCTAACATTTTTGGTCATGGATAAGTACATCCCCAGGAATACTTGCCAGAACAATAGACAGACAAATGTGTACAGATAAGTAATAAACATACATGATTCAACATGAAGCAAGCACAGTAATAAAAAACTATCCTGATGTTCAAATATGACATGAAATTGGTTGAAATCAACTAAAGCTGTAATCATCATTATCATCATTATATGTCTTGCCAGATGGCATAAAGATTCATCTCTCTCCACAGATCTGTTTTGATGTTCTTCTTCGTTATCTTTATCTTCTGTTTTCTACATCACCATTTAAAAGAGGGGTTGGCATGTTGTAGTTTACAGCTAGAGTGTGATATCTGCTCCTTTCAGCTTAACACATGATGGCATGAAGATTTATGTCTCTCCACACGTCTGTCTTGGTCTTCTTCTTCTTATTCTGTCTTCTACGTTCACCTTTAAAAGAGCGGTTGGCATGTTGTAGTTTACAGCTAGAGTGTGATATCTGCTCCTTTCAGCCAACACATCTGATTACAGAAAATTCTTTAATTAGTAACTTTTTAATGACATATTTGTGAAAGGACTTTGGGTCTATTCTTATTTTAGATCTACAAACATGATGCAGTGAGATTTACACTGTGAAGGTTTTAGTTTTCTAGATGTTTTATTAATACTATTCCTTTCTACTATCAGACAGTTGGTGGGAAACAACACCTTGTACTAGATTCGTTAAGAAACAGCAGATGGAGTAGTTTTAGCCATCTTGTTAAAATGCAACAGTATCAAATTCCATCACAAGCACTACACCTCAGAAGATCAGCCTCAAGAGCACGAGGACAGCCACAAAACACAAACGTACTATAACATTAAAAACACTATGTCTTCCTGACATGACAATAACAAGTACAAGCCAGCGTGCACCGGATCACACATATTTCCTCCCCCTGATGCTTAATGGCTGAAGTGTATGATGATGATGATTATTTCTCCTTGCCATTGTCTTAGACCAGGACTATTTAACAGCCAGCCCATTTGCCAAATTTGGCCTGCAGAGGTCTAGCAAGTGGCAAATGAATCACCTGCCAATTATAGTTTTTAATGACCTTTCTATACTGGGAATCTGGCCTCTGACCCATGATGAAACCCATTTTGGCCCCTCAGTAAACTTTTCCGTAAGCCTAAGACCATCTGGTAAAGCTGCAGGAAGAAGTGTCTTTCACAAAATATGCAAATAGTTTACCTGATATTTAGTGTAAGTTTGTGTTTTTAAAACAAACAGGCTGTCTTCCATCTTTGTTTTAAATGTGTTTTTTAATGTTTAAATAAAAGTAATTTCATGGAGTGTTACATCACTTTATTCTGCAGCCTGAAACTTCATATTTAATATAAACATACTGTGGCACATCATGCAGAATTTTTTAGTTATTTCATTTATGAAAATATTCACAAAGATGAACATGTTTTAACCAGACTAAAACTGAGTTCAAGAGAAAGACTGGTGTGAGGACAACTACACAAATACTTGTGACTAACTTTGGCGAGTAAAGAGCTAAATCAATAGTTCCTTCAAGCAGGGCTTTTGTTTCTTGTTCTGGTGGTACGCAACAGTATATGTACTAGCAGCCTGTTTTTTTTACTGCTGCTGTAACAGACACTTTGTGGTGAGTACTCTGCTTGTCTATCTTTAAGAGGACACTGCAGACTCAACCCCAGCATTGTTTTGTCTATTTGTGAATTTACTAGGCAATGTCTACATTCCATTGTTTACTGCAGCTTTCTGAATGGTAAGTTCATGAGACTACTGTAAAAATGAAAACAAGGCGGTCTGCTGCCAAATTTCCTGCAGGGTGGATCAAACCCAACCCCTCAGAATAATGAAGCCCCCCGTGTGGGTTCCGGGGCCCCATTGTGGGGAAAACAAGAATTGACCCACTGCCTCCACAAAAGCATGTCGTAAGAGTCGACTAATTGGGGAGCTTCCTTTGAAGTCGGAGTGCATCTGCCGGAGAGGCAAGGAACCAACAGTTTGTATTCAAGAGAATGAGATCTGTAAAACTGATGCACACGCAACACTCAGGTTCTGGAGCAGGACTGCAGTTCAGTAGTGGACGATCAACCAGAACTTTCCGCCAGAGTGTGCAGCTGGTGAACGTGAAGAAGAAGAAGAAGAATAATGAAGCATGTTTGCAATGCCTAAGTCATAAACGCAGATTTCTCGTGAATACCAACAACTATTTTTAGACATTGTGGTGAATACAAGCACCTTTTGTTCTGAGGAAAGGGGGGAGGGGGCTGCCTGGAGAGATATATATAATGGTGTCAATAGATGTGACAGCTAGAAATTGGCCACTCTGTTGTTCTAATAACCAGAAATGACTATAATCTGCCATCAAAAATTAAAACGTATACAATCTATATGAAACAACTTGGCACATATTGTCAGTACATTTATGTGTTTGTATGATAAGCCATGCACTCAATACATCCACACACATCTCACAGTATAAGTGAATGAGTTCCAAATTACATCTACACATTAGAAAATACATACTGCAGTTGTTGCATCTACTTCCCACACACTAAAATGCAGCAAAAACAACATTCTCAAGCACAACTGTTTCTAACATTTAAAAGCTAAAGCTCTTTAATGAAAACAAACAGCTAGAAATGCTTTTCTGCTGGGGAAAAAAAAGGAGGAAAAAAAAAGGCTTAAACAAATAAGAAAATGAAGACTTCCTGTGTTTTCTGTTTTTCAGTCATGCAGGATCACTTCTTTGAAACTTATATATTTTTGCTGCACTTGTAATAAATTGTCCGCTTTTTACAATGAATATATAAATTAGTACAGTACTACTACAACATATTCCCTCTGCAAACTGTAACAAAATATAATTAACAAATTGTTAAAATAATAAAAAAAAAAAACGTAAAGCAATCCTTGTAAGATCATCACAAAAATGAGCATGTTAAATTTTTTGGCTAAAAATTGAGCTATCAGGTCTGAGGAAGATCATCATCATCATTGCCCTGTTGCGCTATTACATGCCACATAAGGCTCACAGTCTATTATGTTCTACCCTGTGCAAGCCCTTCGATATCATGGATGGGATTCAGTCCCACACCTTTGGTCTCTCTCATCAAAGTTGAGGTTTTTTTTTTTTTGATGTCCTTGTTTCCTCAATTCCTTTATTACCTATTCTACTTCTTTTTCTTCTTTGCGTTCACCAGCTGTAAACTCTGGTGGAAAGTTCTGGTTGTTCATCCACTTCTGGACTGCAGTCCTGTTCCAGAACCTGAGTTTCGCGTGTGCAGATCTGACTCATTTGTATGCAGACTGCTGGTTCCTTGCCTCTCAGGCAGATGCACTCTGACTTCGAAAGAAACTTCCAATTAGTTGACTCTTACGACAGGCTTTTGGGTAGGCAGTGGGTCTATTCTTGTTTTCCCTAAAAAAGGGCCAAAGGAACCCACACGTGGAGTACCTATTCTACCATCTGCTTCGTGATACTCTGCTCATTTCTTCTCAGGGTGTGTCCAATATAGCGCCAACTTCTTTGTCCGATCAATGTGAAACCAGTAGTTTTCTGAGGAAGGCTAAGAATACATGATCAAACTGATCTAACATGACAATGGAGTGAATTTCAGTAAAGGGGAATAAGGATGAGCATTACAGCGAAAGAGGGAGCAATAGACAGAGAAATAAACCAACTCTGTGTTTGTTTGCTGCTGAAAATATTTGAGATTTCCCCTGCTGTATTCGACTTAGTTGCTTACATTCTTTGAAACGTACTAAAGAGATGCAAGCTGAAGGGGGTCAAGACTGTCAGGGAAAGAATACATTAAAATAACAACACTCAAAATGAGATAAAGCCCCAGCCAAACATACAAAACACATACAATTTGTGTGTCTAAATTCCGACCAAACGCTTAAAAAAAAATAGGAAATAGATTACATTGAGTCAGCCACAGAAGTGCAATAATATATAAATATCACATTTCAAGGACGTCTACCCCGGTGTTTAAACTTTTAATTTCAAGGATACTGATGCAAAATGTCCCATCCACATAGGCTTCTTAAGTTATACATTAGTTTCTGCTGGTTTGCAGGGTAACAATCCTGCAGTATTTTTACTATACGTTGAATATTAAACAGTCTGTGCCAAGTGGTGGAGGCAATCATGACTGTTCACAACCTTCTGTCTCATTTATTGTCAAACATTTCTGATGTAGATGTTCTTCTATGCTGTAATGTTTGAAGAACCTGCTGGCAGTATTACTCTCTATTACACTGGTTGTTCAAGCATTATCAGTTCCTTTAACTCTTTCACTCCCAAACAGTTACTATTTTAACTTCTCATATTGCAAAGAGCTGGGCTTAAAATCAATAAATAAATACTTAAGACTGGAGAAGTTTAGCAAATGACATTTTGTGGCAGAAGTAGTCAAAAAATAATTCCAACACAAAGGGTTACTATATGAACTGTCTGCGATGGAAGACAGCAAGGATACCTCATTATCTTTGGAATTATCAAATAAAGCATGGTGAGTTAGTTGGTACTGAAAGAATTAAAGAAAGCAAAGATTTGTATCACTTGTTGGGTCTCTCGCTCTGCCTCTCTTCCATTCTCACTTTCCTATTGTCATGATGTGCTCTAGTTTATTTCTTTCTCATAACATGCCCCAAAAACTGAACATGAGACAACTCTTTCTATTATAATTTAGAGGTCATTTACCAAACTTCTTCTTCTTCCACATTTATCAGTGAATTGGTGGTTAGTATGTTATCTTGTGGTTTACAGCTCCACTGTGGTATCTGCGCTTTAGTCCTATACATTTCATTACAGCAAACCTTTAATTAGTCTCCTTTTACAACATTCTTATAAAGGCCCAGTGATTAGAATCTTTGTTCACCCCCAGACTGAGGTTCAGAATCCGAACAAAGATGGACACTCATATTTTCCTACACATTTTTTTGTTTTTTTGGTTACACATTTACACTCTGTCATACATCTTATGTCGGCTCTGTGGCTAAGTCGATGAGAACGCTCCGTAATGACGGGATACCGGGTTCGATCCCAGCTAGAAAAACCACACTGGTTCTGCAGGGTCCTGTAAAGGATACGCAACTAACCTAACCATACATCTTATATTTATTTAAAATACCCCATTAAAAAATGCAGTTTCTTTTCTGGAAATACAGTCTACACTATTTATGTTAGCTTCTGGATTCTCAAGGATGGATCCGGATGCATGAAGAAGCAGACTAAATCTAGATCTGGGTTAACCAGAGACAGTGGGTGTGTTGTTCAACCCCAACAGGACTTTACAACAAGCGACCAACAGCCGGCCACAAAAAGTGCCACCAGTCGGATGAGGATCACCCAGGCACAAGTTCTAGAAACCCTGTTGAACCTGTAGGGGTTATATTAGGGCCCCTGACAACAGCCTGGGTAGGGCTTTAAAAAAAATGAAAAACTGCATCCTACAGTGGGACAGGTATTTGATACTAAGCGGAAAAAGATAAGAGTGGTCACAACCAATTGTATGTACTGGTTTAGGGGCTGCGTATGTCCTAACAGAATTAACATATTGTTAATGTAACATACACTGGCATACACACACACAATGCAATGCTCTATGACAGGGCTATTCAACTGGTGGCCCGTGGGCCAAATCTGACTCCCTTTAATCCATATAGCTCCCTCTAATCCTCCCCATTATTTTTCATCTCTAATATTCTTCTTATGTGTGCATTTAAATCCCCCTCATTTACCCTGTGGGTTCCAGTCAAATTAACATCAAATGAACATAACCCAGGCACAGGTCACCACAATGAAAGCATCAACAGTCAATGTACTTGTAGCATTTCCATAAACAAGAGACCTATCTAACTGAGCCTATCTTCTCTCCAGGCTATTCCAGAACATGTAACATCTACTTTAAACAAAAAGTATAATAATATAAAAGGTAAAAAAAAAAAAAAAAAACTTAGAGGAAAACCAACACGCTTGAGGTATTCCTGATCTACACTTGATAACAGCTCCATATATGTAAATATATACACAGGTTCACAGCCATGTCGTCGGAACAAACCTATAAGAGACCACTGCGTCTGAAGTTTGTAAGAGCACCAAGAACACCAACATCTGCACCGCCTGCTAAAGGAGATTCCGCTGCAGTTTTTGTGCTGGATAGGCTGCCAGTTGCTAGTCCCTCTCCATCTGTGCTGCTTTCTTCTTCAGATTTGCTGGCGGCTCCTCCCCATAACCCATACAACGAATATCCTTTGTTTTTCAGCTGCTGCAAGAAACTCTTTCCTGATGCCACAACAGGCTCTGCCTTCTTTGAAGTCCCTGAATCTACTAATGACAACGACCCATCTTTCTTCACTGCCACGTGATCAAACGATCTCGACCCCAGAAATAGTTTTGGTGTCGATGAGGTTAAAGGTTGGCTGTCAAAAGACCTTGAGCCTGTATGTGTCCAATTCACATTTGAATTTGAGATAGAGGTTGAAGTAGTTACATCGATGGTTGTGGTTACTGGTGGAGACGCAGCCCGCATGATGGCATGGCTGGTGTTCTCTCTGCCTTGAAGCAGAGAGGCCAGGCCAAGAGACATGCTGTGTGTGCTGTCTGCTGCAGGTTTGTGCAGGTGAGACATCTGTTGGTGCTGGGATTCTGAATTTAGGCTGGGCACCTGGCCGTCTAGGGCATCATCCATCTTCAAGGAGGCACCTGTGTGCTCTGTGTTTACGGGAATGCTAGAGGAAACAAAATATTTTCAGATTATTTCACAAAACAAATATTTGTTTCTATTGAAATCAAATTAAAAATACTTTCTTTTCTTACTCCATTTTTTGTTTTCCCCAAACACAAAAATCTTATACAGAAGTTCTGGAAAAAGTGGGAATCAAAAGAGAATAACTGAAAAAAAAAAAAAAGCAGGGGGAAATATTTTAGCCACATTAAAAAGACATATCACTTCTTTAAAACCATACTAGAGGGAAAAGAAGAAAGCAAGAGGTAGAAAGTTACACAAGAGGTGGGGGGCTGGGGGGGTGGGAGGAACAACATTAAGAGAGAGAGAGAGAAATAGAGAGAGAGAGAGAGAGAGAGAGAGAGAGAGAGAGAGAGAGGAGAGAGAGAGAGAGAGAGAGAAACAGAAGTCTGCAAGAATATACAATCAAGATGAGAGACACAAGAGTGCAGGAGATCCACTGCAGCCAGCATTCACTGGGGATGGAACCTGATTGCTTTCATCCTCAAAGTAAAGGTACAGGTAATCTTATAGCAGATGCTACCACTGTGTCAACATGTGAATTCCGGGCTCCAATGTGGAAAGGGAAAAAAAGAATAGACCAAAAAAACCAAAATCCCCCCCCCCCCCCCCCCCCCCCCCCCCCCCCCCCCCCCCCCCCCCCCCCCCCCCCCCCCCCCAACCAGCATGTCATAAAAGCTTATTAACTAGAGTTTCCTTCGAAGTCAGGGTGCATCTGCCTGAGAGGTAAGGAACCAATGGTCTGCATACAATTGAGACAGATGTAAAATGGGTGTGCACACAAAACTGAAGTTTTGCAACAAGACCATAGTCGAGAAGTGGATACATAACCAGAAATTTCCACCCGAGTGAACAGCGGGTGAACAGCGGGTGAACAGCGGGTGAACAGCGGGTGAACAGCGGGTGAACACTAAGAAGAAGAGAAAACCTAATGGAACAATGTGCTGTATTTTGAGCCCAAACCAGCATTTTGTCAGGCAATAGCACTAACCACTATGCCGCCATAGGTTCTACCTTACTACCCTGTATTTTGAGCCCAAACCAGCATTTTGTCAGGCAATAGCACTAACCACTATGCCGCCATAGGTTCTACCTTACTACCCTGTATTTTGAGCCCAAACCAGCATTTTGTCAGGCAATAGCACTAACCACTATGCCGCCATAGGTTCTACCTTACTACCTTAAAGAGTTCCACATTCTTCTTCTTGTTCAAGTTCATCTCCACTCAAAATTCCAGCTTCTGAACTTTGGTCTTGTTTCAATGTGTAGTTCAGCAATCTGCACCCCATCTTACTCAGTATACACTTAGTCTACTAATACTGTTTTGGAATAGCTGGCTTCCCATAAAACTGAAGTCTCCAGTCTATACCTGTAGTATTTATAAGGGAAATAGAAATGAAATATTGTATTGACAGAATGAACAGAAATTATTAAAGGTATAGGATAATTTGAAAAAATAGACGGACATTGTAATTCTAAACTAAAATACACACATGAGAACAATAAATTGACACCAAAAATTTTTTTAAATTTTTATTTTAAATTAGGCACTGCTAAAAAAAAACTTGATGTCACAAGAATACAAAGAAATAAAACAAGACAAAGAAAGACAAAAAAAAAAAAAAAAATAAAGAAAAGAAAAAAAACATGGCTGACATATTCTAATCTGCAGACTGGTGTAATTAAAGAAAAAAAGAATAAATGTATCCTATCTGGAAAAGATCTGATGAACAGGTAAAATACTTGTGTGCTCACATAACGCTATCAGTAAACAATATCATAACTTGGACCTCACCTTGAGCCTAACAGACTGTTCTGCCCTCTGTAACCGCCAGGATTGAGAATCCTTGAATCTGTGAATGTATAGATCAAGCCCAGGTCTTGCTCTTTACGGGTATGAACATCATGAGCATGATCTGTTAAAGAATAATATAATGAATGCGGCAGTATGTCAGACACCACTAGCAGGTCATCTCATGGCAGATACAAGACAATGAATACTGTAGTATGTCAGACACCACTAGCAGGTCATCTCATGGCAGATACAAGACAATGAATGCTGTAGTATGTCAGACACCACTAGCAGGTCATCTCATGGCAGATACAAGACAATGAATGCTGTAGCATGTCAGACACCACTAGCAGGTCATCTCATGGCAGATACAAGACAATGAATGCTGTAGTATGTCAGACACCACTAGCAGGTCATCTCATGGCAGATACAAGACAATGAATGCTGTAGCATATCAGACACCACTAGCAGGTTATCTCATGGCAGATACAAGACAGAATACTGTAGCAAGTCAGAGACCACTAGCGGTCTGTCATGGGCAGATACAGACAATGACCACTGCAGCCTGTCAGACACCACTAGTCATGGGCAGATACAAGACAATGAATGCTGTAGTATGTCAGACACCACTAGCAGGTCATCTCATGGCAGATACAAGACAATGAATGCTGTAGCATATCAGACACCACTAGCAGGTTATCTCATGGCAGATACAAGACAATGAATACTGTAGCATGTCAGAGACCACTAGCAGGTCATCTCATGGCAGATGCACGACAATGAATGCTGTAGCATGTCAGACACCACTAGCAGGTCATCTCATGGCAGATACAAAGATGAATGCTGTAATGCTAGTAGGTTCATATGGCAGACACCACCACTAGCAGGTTATCTCATGGCAGATACAAGACAATGAATACTGTAGCATGTCAGAGACCACTAGCAGGTCATCTCATGGCAGATGCACGACAATGAATGCTGTAGCATGTCAGAGACCACTAGTAGGTCATCTCATGGCAGATACAAGACAATGAATGCTGTAGCATGTCAGACACCACTAGCAGGTCATCTCATGGTAGATACAAGACAATGAATGCTGTAGTATGTCAGACACCACTAGCAGGTCATCTCATGGTAGATACAAGACAATGAATGCTGTAGTATGTCAGACACACTAGCAGGTCATCTCATGGCAGATACAAGATAATGAATGCTGTCATATGTCAGACACCACTAGCAGGTCATCTCATGGCAGATACAAGACAATGAATGCCGTAGCATGTCAGACACCACTAGCAGGTCATCTCATGGCAGGTGCATCATGAATGCAGCCTGTCAGATAGCAGGACATCTCGGCATGCCTGTCAGACACCACTAGCAGGTCATCTCATGGCAGATACAAGACAATGAATGCTGTAGTATGTCAGACACCACTAGCAGGTCATCTCACGGCAGATAAGGACAATGAATGCTGTAGTATGTCAGACACCACTAGCAGGTCATCTCATAGCAGATAAAAGACAATGAATGCTGTAGTATGTCAGACACCACTAGTAGGTCATCTCATGGTAGATACAAGACAATGATTGCTGTAGCATGTCAGACACCACTAGCAGGTCATCTAATGGTAGATACAAGACAATGAATGCTGTAGTATGTCAGACACCACTAGCAGGTCATCTCATGGCAGATACAAGACAATGAATGCTATAGTATGTCAGACACCACTAGCAGGTCATCTCATGGTAGATACAAGACAATGAATGCTGTAGTATGTCAGACACCACTAGTAGGTCATCTCATGGTAGATACAAGACAATGAATGCTGTAGTATGTTGGACACCACTAGCAGGTCATCTCATGGCAGATACAAGACAATGAATGCTGTAGTATGTTGGACACCACTAGCAGGTCATCTCATGGCAGATACAAGACAATGAATGCTGTAGTATGTCAGACACCACTAGCAGGTCATCTCATGGCAGATACAAGACAATGAATGCTGTAGTATGTCAGACACCACTAGCAGGTCATCTCATGGTAGATACAAGACAATGAATGCTGTCATATGTCAGACACCACTAGCAGGTCATCTCATGGCAGATACAAGACAATGAATGATGTAGTATGTCAGACACCACTAGCAGGTCATCTCATGGCAGATACAAGACAATGAATGCTGTAGTATGTCAGACACCACTAGCAGGTCATCTCATGGCAGATACAAGACAATGAATGCTGTCATATGTCAGACACCACTAGCAGGTCATCTCATGGTAGATACAAGACAATGAATGCTGTAGTATGTCAGACACCACTAGCAGGTCATCTCATGGCAGATACAAGACAATGAATGCTGTCAAATGTCAGACACCACTAGCAGGTCATCTCATGGTAGATACAAGACAATGAATGCTGTAGTATGTCAGACACCACTAGCAGGTCATCTCATGGTAGATACAAGACAATGAATGCTGTAGTATGTCAGACACCACTAGCAGGTCATCTCATGGTAGATACAAGACAATGAATGCTGTAGTATGTCAGACACCACTAGCAGGTCATTTCATGGTAGATACAAGACAATGAATGCTGTAGTATGTCAGACACCACTAGTAGGTCATCTCATGGCAGATACAAGACAATGAATGCTGTAGTATGTTGGACACCACTAGCAGGTCATCTCATGGCAGATACAAGACAATGAATGCTGTAGTATGTCAGACACCACTAGCAGGTCATCTCATGGCAGATACAAGACAATGAATGCTGTAGTATGTCAGACACCACTAGCAGGTCATCTCATGGTAGATACAAGACAATGAATGCTGTTATATGTCAGACACCACTAGCAGGTCATCTCATGGCAGATACAAGACAATGAATGATGTAGTATGTCAGACACCACTAGCAGGTCATCTCATGGCAGATACAAGACAATGAATGATGTAGTATGTCAGACACCACTAGCAGGTCATCTCATGGCAGATACAAGACAATGAATGCTGTAGTATGTCAGACACCACTAGCAGGTCATCTCATGGCAGATACAAGACAATGAATGCTGTCATATGTCAGACACCACTAGCAGGTCATCTCATGGTAGATACAAGACAATGAATGCTGTAGTATGTCAGACACCACTAGCAGGTCATCTCATGGCAGATACAAGACAATGAATGCTGTCATATGTCAGACACCACTAGCAGGTCATCTCATGGTAGATACAAGACAATGAATGCTGTAGTATGTCAGACACCACTAGCAGGTCATCTCATGGTAGATACAAGACAATGAATGCTGTAGTATGTCAGACACCACTAGCAGGTCATCTCATGGTAGATACAAGACAATGAATGCTGTAGTATGTCAGACACCACTAGCAGGTCATCTCATGGCAGATACAAGACAATGAGTGCTGTAGTATGTCAGACACCACTAGCAGGTCATCTCATGGCAGATACAAGACAATGAATGCTGTCATATGTCAGACACCACTAGCAGGTCATCTCATGGTAGATACAAGACAATGAATGCTGTCATATGTCAGACACCACTAGCAGGTCATCTCATGGTAGATACAAGACAATGAATGCTGTAGTATGTTGGACACCACTAGCAGGTCATCTCATGGTAGATACAAGACAATGAATGCTGTAGTATGTCAGACACCACTAGCAGGTCATCTCATGGCAGATACAAGACAATGAATGCTGTCATATGTCAGACACCACTAGCAGGTCATCTCATGGTAGATACAAGACAATGAATGCTGTAGTATGTTGGACACCACTAGCAGGTCATCTCATGGTAGATACAAGACAATGAATGCTGTCATATGTCAGACACCACTAGTAGGTCATCTCAATGCTACAGGCATTATCTCCTACGGTTAATACAAACAGCCACTGAAAAATGCAGTGAAATTACCAGTTCTCATCTGCACTGCTCTTTTTTTTTTGCTTTTAACTCTGAATGGAACTTAGGCCCTCAACCTACTCATTCCTAGATTCTGCAGTGAAGTTTTTCTGAAAGCTGAGGTAGTCAGTCTCTAGATTTCACTCCTTATTCATCTCATACTGTAGAATACAGCTCTGAAATTATTCTGTTTTAGCTGTTTAGTCAACAGTCAGGAGTGGAAACCTGTGGTATGATGCTAGACTTGGAAGGTGCATACACGAAGGTGCCCTTAGAAGAGCCTTAGCTGCAGATTCCAAGTTGATTCTACCATCAAAAAGGTCAGAAAAGGTTTAGCTGCAATGAAAGTTATGGCTGCTATGTGTGGTCAACAAAGGCTTTTAGTTATCCTCTACCAGGGTTTGATCCTCTCTGTCATAGAATATGCACTGGCAATCCTCACCTTCAGCAAGACACAAAATCGGCAAACTGGAAAGGGTTCAAAATGAAGCAATGCACACCATACTTGGCTGCATCAAAGACACATCATGTAGAGCTATGACATATCTACTAGATTTTCCAGACATAAACAGCAGGTTTGAAATGCACCAAGCGTGTGCGTATCTCAAAATCACTGAGGTCTCTACACACTCACTCCAGGATGAACTGAATACATGTAAAGGCAACAAACTTAAATTAGGTCAGTCTTGGTTTGGCTTGGCAGAGACAGAACTTCAACAGGTGATTTTCCTTCAAGGCACAAACAGTGGAGAGAAATTGCTATCCAGACCCAATAAATACAAGCAGTACTTTGTGGTGGTTATCACCCTGACAAGATAATGCCATGATTTGGTTTCACTGATAGTTGATGCAGAAGTGAAAGCATTGGTGGAGGACCACACATCACCAGAAGATGCTATTATGTATAGATATATAGAGGGTTCTGTGATTGGTCACAAGCAAGTGCATGGGCTTTAAGGCAAGAACCAAAGTGAAAGTCATCAAAGCGGAGCCTTTGCTTCCACCACTGGCAGCATGACAATGGAGGTCATGGCTGTGACAAAGGCCCTAGATTGGTTGAAAACTCCAGAATTCACCAATGCATATTTGCTCAGCAGCTCAGTAAGCCTTGCTACAGAAGATCAAGGCGGGTACATATGGAAACAGATGATCCATCCGAAACATCACACAGCATTTCGCAAAATCACCTTAATTTTTGTCCCACGGCATGTTGTAAGTAAAAGTAAAGGATCCTTTTCCACTCTTTAGGCGTATAGTGCATATAGGGCTAGACCTATATTTTTATAGACCAATCGGCACAAGATGGATGATGTAATCTGCATCACGCCGGCCGCCTCTACTTCCCGGGACTGCACCCGGTACCCACTAAAGGCTGGGTCGACCTAAGAGCCAAGGTCATTTTTTGAAAAAAGTCCGGCTCCTCCAGGGAGCGAACCCATGACCTTCCGATCTGCGGCGAGCGTCTAGCCACTCCGCTGTATGTTGATGTGAAAGGCAGTGAGAGAGCAGATGCTCTGGCTGGCAGTACAACTATCAGGAAAGGGCCCTCTATGGACAGGAGAGACATCATCAATACCATACAAGTGACTACACACTGAGAGGTTTTCAATTTGATGGAAAATGATTTTTCACTGAATAGGCTGCATACCCTGGGTGTATAAACTGGAGTTGCGAGACAGGAAAACCACGCAGGATGTCACCTATTGTTATATCAACCAGAACAGAATGGGAGTTGTTAACCTAAAAAAACACTTGGAGATATAATCAGGAGGAGATCGGAGCACTTGTGGTCAGGTCCAATCTGCGATGAAGATGATCTTTTTAAATGAACAATCTATAATGAACATCAGTCAGTTATTACCATCAATCCTGATATTACCATTAATCCTGAGATAAATCAACCCTGAAATAAATAAATCCTGAAAGGAACCTATATTTGCCATCTAGTCATCACCATTTTTTTTGGGGTGGTAATCTCTGTATTATCTATGAGATGAGAAGGTGGTAATTAATAAGGTGTTTGTGTGTGTGTCTGTGGATGTGGTGTGTGTATGTATGTATATATGTATGTATGTGTGCGTGCGTGTTTTTTTGTTGTTATTTTTTTTAAGCATTTAAGCAATGATAGTTATTCTTAACCAAAATTTTGAAAAAAAGACAATGCCCCTACTTGCCTTCTGATACCACTGTGTCTGTTTTTTCTTTTTTTGCATTTATACATTTTTAAAGGATTTTCTATTGTTTCCATTTAATTATTCTCATTTTCTGTGAGCATCCATGTCAGACATTACTAGGAGAATTTTTGCATGAACAGTATTGAACAATTCTTTACGTCTGTCCTGCAATATCAGTAACATCCGTCAAACAATTTCATTCATTTTAATATGAAGATTTTATGCTACCCAAGAATTTTTTATGATTATCACATTTGCTGCAACAAAAATGGCTTTTATGCCCCTGTTCCCCCTCCCCCTAATTTGTTTAAACCATGGGTAGGGTGGTCTACAGCAGTGATAGATTTAGGATCTGTTGATTGAAAGTGATATAATTATGTGTGGCCACCAACAAACCGTGCAAGTTAGAATTATAAATGCCAAATTATTTATCAAGGATGTAACCCAAGGCTTCCTGAATAAGAGTTCAGCATTCTAACTACTCAGCCAGACATTTACTGGTGTGCTAAAATATATTTTTATCTAAATAGTCAGTGTTACTTTAGCAGAATCTTACCTCCATCTTCAGAGTCACTGAGAGTGATGTCCCCTGACAGATCTAGTTTGTTACCCCCCTTCAACAGGATGCTGTCCCTTTCTTCAAATATGCCGCCCAAGTGGGGCGTGGCTAGATGCTGCCACTGTCGTAATGTCATGGATCCTGCAAAATGACAATAAACAATTATTACTGTGCCTCTGAAAAAAAATGTGTAACATCAGAGGCAGGTCTGTAGCATCATCATGTGCCATTCTAATAAGCAGAGGCTGTCTTGCTTCTCCATCCCATGAGATCACCATGGATCAGGTCAGTGTTCTCATCCTGCACTATCCATATGGCTTAGGTATGTAGCTCTTTGCCTTTCGATGGCAATTTTACCTTCAACCCCATGTGCAAACACTTGTTAAGCAAACTGCTAAAAAGGCTAAAAAGGGTATACCAACAAGCACAAATTAAAAACTTTCTGGATGAAAACACTAGGAAATTATTGTATACTTTTCATTTTCAGACCCACATAGACTACTGCTCCACAATATAGGATGGATGTGCAAATTCAGTCATCAAACGAGTGAAAGCACTCCAGAGAAGGACTGTTTGTTTAACAGCTTATAGTCATGGAAGCGACCACTCCAGGAACGCCTACTATTCAATAAAGATAAACTTATTTATAAAATCATATCTAAAAATGCTTCATGTTACCTTTGGCCATTATTTAAATACAATGGGAGGCATAGCAAATACCTTAGCATATTGCACATCTCTAAACCTAAAATAGACCTATACAAAACAAGCTTAGCGTACTCTGCAGCGCAGCTGTAGAATCATCTTCCACAGGAAATAAAAAACATCACTAACACCTACACATACAATCGGAAACTATTTGAATATTATCTCACTACAGACTATATGCCCCCTTAAAAGATTATAGTATGTTAAGGCATATGATGTATTTCCATGAGATGTCTTATTAATTTTTTTTTTTATGTTTTTGTTTTTTGGCTTGTTTGTTTAAAAACTGAAGGTTATAATTGTTTAAAAATAAAGATGCAAGTGGAACACATTCCAATGTTTGTAACTAATATTTAATTGATGTTGATGATGTTTATATTATGCGACCTGTAAGACTTATATCATTTTTGGAATAGGCTTATTACTATACTCTTTAAAACGCTAAGTAATGTCAGTATAATTAGAGCACATTCCAACAATAGTAATTAAGACTTAGAAGTTGCAAACTGTTTTTTTTTTTTTTAATTCTTATTATTATTATTATTATTAACTATAAAATGAGGTACAAATGAATAATTGTATGCAAGGAGCGGAGTGGAAGGGCAGAATGTTAGACTGGCTGCATGCCCAATTCTTAATCCCTTTGAAAATAAAGTATGTTCGTCCAATCGTTCCCTTGCTTCCTTTTTTATTTATCATACCAGTCATTACCAAGTTCTCATATCCATCGCTTCACACAACATTTAGGAGTGTGGTTCAAACCAAAAAAAGTGAATGACTCATGTCCATATTTTAGGGCGTACTGAGATGCTGGTGTCATATTTATATAGACCAATCCAAATTACAGACTGATATAAATAGAGGTAGTCAATATCCATAAGCTTACCTTTACTTCACAGAATAAATTCAGCTTTCCATTTTAGGATGGATCTATTTGGGAACCAGTCAGTTTTCAGAAATGACCTTTGCCGAGGATTTTTTCCTGACAACAAAGGTGCCGGTACTCACCACAGAGTGTTTCTAAAAAGGTGCCAGTGCTCAGTGCTGTGTCTGTTACACCAGTTATACAAGCACTGAAGAAAAAGGCCTTGAAAAAGGTGGCAGTACAGCAAACTGCTAGGGGGAAAGCCCTAAGCTTTATTATTATCAAACCATAATTTTTTTGGCAGGCCAAAAAAATTTTTCACTCAGTACCAATTAATTAAAGGTTTGATGAAATCACATTAGTTGGGCCAAAAGGTACAGATAAAAGTCCTAGCTGTAAGCCACAACACACCAACCATTCTTCTTCTGCCTTTCTAGCCCCCAATGGAGCATAGACCCTCAACCAACTCATGCCAAATCGTTCTATCCTATGATATCACAAGCAGATCTCCCCACGTCCTCCCCATCTTTTTAACTTCATTCTCCAGCTCCCTTCTCCATGTATTTTTTGGCCTTCCTTTACTCCTGCGCCCCTGTGGGTTCCAATGCAAAGACATTCTAGTTATATTGTTCTCCGGTTTTCTCAATGTGTGTCCTATCCAACGCCAGTGTCTTTTCTTCACCTCTTGGTCCACTGGAGCTTGCTTGTTCTATCCCAAAGCTCTACATTAATTATTCTAACACACCAACCATACTTTTAATAAATGCAGAAGAAGTTCCACTCCTAGATAAACCCTGTAGATGACAAAGTTACATACCTTCTAATGGCTTCACAATCTGTAGTTTTTCTGGCAACTTATAATGCTGGTTGTTTACAGACACGCCAGAAGAGCTCCACCTGGATGACACACTATCCATTGGTGACCGAAACATTGGGTGACCTGGGCTATGCTGGCTGAACTGTGAGGAACC